TTCCTGATCAGCCAGGAGATTCAGTGTCCATTGACTTTATGGACACCCATGTCAAGAGTAGGCACAGCAAGAGCCAAGTCATGGTAATAGTTGACCGATTCAGTAAGTATGCTGTTTTTGTTCCTTTGCCCTCAGAGGCACGTACATAGTTAGTTATTCAGAAGTTCTTTGATCATTGGGTCAGTGAACACGGGATTCCACTGTCTATAGTTAGTGATAGAGACACTCGGGTTCACTAGTCAGAACTGGCAGGAGTTGATGAGAGTCTATTGCTCCAAGTTGTTGATGTCATCTGGCCGTCATCCAGAGACTAACGGTCAGACTGAACAGATGAATAAGATCCTGCAACAAGTTCTGTGTATGTACATTAGACCGGATCAGATCAATTGGGATGAGATGTTGCCCAAGGTAGCCAGTGCCTATAACAATAGCGTGCACTTGTCCACCTGTCGCACTCCCAATGAGTTGCACAAGTCCTTTAAACCACGCAGACCGTTTGAGGGACTTAACCGGGACGAGATTCACAGGCTACCGCCCGGTACTAGGGAGTTTGCGTTACAGCACGAGAAAGAGTTAGCTACCGTGGTAGAGAACCACAGGAAAGCCCAGCACCGAATGATAGAACAAGCTAATAAGCACCGTCGCCCGTCACAGTGTCAAGTAGGCGACCTGGTCTGGGTCAAGTCCAAAGAGTTTGCTCCTTAGGAAAACATCTTGCAGAAGTAGGACCGTGGCCAGTTCTGGAAGTTAAGGGCAGAGAGGATGGGCTGTCCTACACAGTAGAGATACCAGCACACCTCCACACCTACCCTGTGTTTCATGCCTCAAAGCTGTTGCCGTGTGTCACAAGTCAACAGTTTCCATCTAGAAGATCCATGATTCCTCCAGACATGGACGGAAGGTACGACATTGACGGCATTGTAGGTGAAGACGTGTTCAGAACAGGAGGTAGAGGTCGTATGCAGAAGCAATACAAGGTTCGGTTTGCTTATCAGGAACCAGAGGACGACTGCTGGTTTACTAGAACAGAACTTCTAGAACCAGCTCCCGATGTAGTTAGAGCCTACGAGAGAGATAAGAATGGTAAAGGTCCTGCCTTGGACTGAGTTATTCTCGGAGGACCTCGAATTTAGGCCGGCGGGAGTGAAACGGTTTTCACCTTTTAGCAGTAGCGAATGCAGATCCCACGGCTCGATCCCTAGTTCTCACCTTACCTGTGTACAGTATCTGTGTCGACCCCGAGTGTTTGAACCCGTGACCTGTGTTTTGACAGTTGTTGTTGTCTGTCGTAGGTCTGTGTAGTGGTAGGGGTTCGATCTGTAGGTCTGTCGAGTAGGAGTCACAGCCCTGTAGAGGTCGTAACTGCAGGGATCCTGAAAGGTCAAGGTCGTAGCTGCTACAGTACCCGAAAGGCCAAGTCTACAGACTTCCAGAAGGTCCCGGAAGTGGCCTTTCGAAGTGGGCTCACGATTAGGCAGAGGCAAGTGGGCAAGTGGTCGAGCCAACCTCAGTACGTTGGCAGTGCGACTGCAGTGAGTCTGCGGTGCAAACCCATGCAGTCAGCGGTACCGGTCCAGTCAGTCCCAGTCCAGTCCAGCAAGTACCATGAGGGACTGTGTGCACCATGGGCCGATGGAAAAGGGCAGACCAGCGAGTTACAGAAGTATAAATCAAGAGGCAGCACCCAGCCATTCATTCATTCCTGGGTAAGCCATGCGGCGCTGCCATAGCGACTTATGCGAGGTGGTCTGCAGTGAGCCGGAGGACGAAGTGGGCGAGAAGGAAGTTAGCCATAGCGATAGAGTAGCAGCGGCCATAGCCGCCATAGCTGTAGGTGTGTGCGGGTGTGTGCGAGTGTACAGAGTGTTGCGTGTGGGATATCCAGGGTGGTCCTGTGTGCGAACAGCAGTGTTGAGTAAGTGACGAACAGAGAGTGGTACAGGCGTTGTGCCGCCATAGCCGTTTGAAGTGAACTTGTATCTGAGCTGCGTTTCTGGTACTATATCTCTGAGTTCTGAGTGGGCGCTTGACGCCAGTTTGCTGCGCAACCTGTTTGCATACATGTGAAGTGTGAATGAAAGCGAGTTTGATTGCATTCCTTCTTTGGCCTAGCAGTAGTAGGCCCAGCGACGCCAGCGTTATATATAGCTGGGCCAGTCTCGCTTCTAGGCAGGCAGAGTTGGAGGTTGAAGTTTTCACGCTGCTGGGCAGCGCTGCTTTCGAGTAGAGGAGTAGACAGAGTAGCAGAGTAGGAGGTTGAGGACGTAGGCCAGCTTTGAGGGACTCACCTGCAGACTTACCTGGTGCCATAGCTCCTGTTCGCCTTCGGGAGTCTTCCACCGGCATCACAGCCCCAAGGAGACACCTTTTACACTGGTCAATATCTGTCTCTATCCTCGAGAGACTATGAGAGGATTCTTCTTCGTCTTCCTCTCCCTCCATCTCCATTGCTCCTCTTCCTCCTCCCTCCCTTCTATTCTTCTTCTTCTTCTACGAGAGCGGGAGAGAATCTGAGACTTGAGACTTGGTGACATTGGGCGCTTGCCCAGACTCAGACCGATATCTCGACAGAGACATTGGGAGACCTCTTGGAGACTATGTGGGCGACACTATTGAGCTGATGACATCTCCGTTTATCTCCCCCTTCGTCTCTTCTCCCTCCTCTTCGTCCTTGCATGATATTGGCCATGGGAGTCTTCTTCCATGTGTGGAGTGCCATGGCCATCCCCTGCATGGGCGATGAGTGAGTTGCAGTCTGTATGAGTCGAGTTGACTCAGATCTGTGTGTATCGGTCTTCTGCTGCATTTTATTTTGCTCATTCTTCTTGGTCGGTTCTTGGCTTCTGCCCCATGCTCATCTGATTGTCTTCAGGCATGCGCGCGCGCGCGCGCGCGCGAGAGAGAGAGAGAGAGAGAGAGAGAGAGAGAGAGAGAGAGAGAGAGAGAGAGAG